TTTTTCAATCTTTACACAGAACAGATTATCCAGGAATCTGGGCTGTATGAGGAGAAATGTAATGTGGCATCAGGACTGGAGGAAAACTTATCAACAGTCTGTTATGCAGATGACACAACCCTGTTTGCTGAAACTGAGGAGGACCTGAAGTTCTTGCTGTGGAAAGTCAGGGACTAGAGTCTTCAGTATGAATTGAGGCTCAATGTAAAGAAAACAAAGATTCTCACCACTGGGCTGATTGGTAGCATCATGAAGAATGGTTGAAGAGATTGATATTGTTCACAGTTTTAGTTTCCTTGGCTCCACAGTCAACACTCTTGGCACCAGCAGCCAGGAAATGAAAAGATGTATTGCATTGGGAAAGTTTTGCTTAGAAACCTCTTTGAAGTACTGAAGGGCAACAATGTCAGTCTGGAGACTATGGTGTGCCTGATACAGCCATGGTCTTTGCAGTCACTTGCTATGCATCAGAGAGCTGAACAATGACTAGGGAGGATAGAAGGAGAATTGCTGTCTTTGAGCTGTGGTGTTGGAGAAGTGTATTGAATATACCATGGACTGCTAAGAAAATGAACAGGTTTGTCCTGGAGAAGGTGAAGCCAGGGTGCTGCTTAGAGGCCAGGATTCTGAAGCTTTGTCTTACATACTTTGAAGATGTTGCAAGGAGGGACCAGTCCTTGGAGAAGGATGTCATGCTTGGGAAGGTGGATGGACAGTGCAGGAGAGGAAGACCCTTGATGAGATGGATTGATTCAGTTGATTGGGGTAATGCGGTTGGTGTGCCAGAGATAGTAAGATTGGCACACGATAGGGTAGAGTTTAGGGCTGTTGTGCATAAGGTTGTTATGAGTCGCAGTCAACTCAATGGCACATAACAAGAATAACAATGTCGCTATTAGAAAGAAGACGGAAAGAATACACAGAATCACTGTACACAAAAGCATTGACTGACATAGAACCTTTTCAAGAAGAAGTGTAATATCAAGAGCTGATGGCAATGAACAAGGAATTTAGAGCTATTTGAAGGAATTGTCAAAAAATTAAGATCCCAGGAATAGATGGAATACAAATTGAGATATTTCAACATACAGATGTAGCCTTGAATGTGCAAAAAAAATTGTGGAGGATAGCTACATGGACAGCTGACTGGATGAGAAACATATTTATTCCCATTTTTTAAAAAAAGCATCCATCAGAGCACACAATTATTGAAAAATATCACTATTAAAAAATGCAAACAAAATCTTTCTGAAGATTTTACAAATCCGACAAGAACAGTACACTGACAAAGAACTTCCAGAAATATAAACTGGATTTAGAAGTGGTCATGATATGAGAGATATCATTGCTTATGCCAGATGGATCATGGATGAGAATAGAGAGAAACATAAGGATGTTTATTTATGTTTTATCCACTATGCAAAGGCATTTGACTGTGTGGATTACAACAAATTGTGGCTAACTTGGAGAGGAATGGGAATCCAAGATTGTGCTCATACAAATCAGTATCTAGACCAAAAAGCTGTTGTCTGAACATAGCAAGGGAATACTCATGGCTCATAATCAAGAAAAGAGTGTGTCAGGGTTATTTCCTTTTCCCATGCCTTTTCAGTTTATATACAAGACAGATCCTTCATGAGGCTGGATTTTATAAAAAAGAATGGTGCATCAGGATAGGAGGAAGACTCATCAGCAAACTGAGTTAGTTATACAGATGGCAAAATCTTGCTCCCCGAAATTGAAGAGTACTTAAAGTGTTTTTGAGCAAAAATTGCAACTTTCCATATGGACTATATCTCAATATCAAAAAAATAAATCTACTCACCACCAAGTCAATAGACAGGACCATGATAGAGAAATAACTGAGGTTGTTGCTTGGATCCATAATCAACATTCTTAATACAAAAAATCAGGAAATTCAAGGTTTATTGCATTGGGAAAATCTACTACCAAAGGATCTCTTCCCAGTGACAAAGAGCAACAACGTCATTTTAGAGACATAAATGCACCTGATCCATGTCATGGTCTTCTCAATTGTTTGCTATGTATCTGATAACTGGATAATGAATAAGAATAACAGTAGGGGAATTGATAGTATTGAGATAGTAAGAATATTGAGCATACCACATAGACTGTCAAGAGCACATATGTGTCCTGGAGAGAGTTAAACCGTTTTCCTCTTGGAGGCAAGGGGTTTAAAACTCCATCTCACATACTTTGAACATGTCACCAGAAGGGATTGGTCCTTAGAAAAGGCCATCATCATTGGAAGAATAGAGAGTCAGTGCAGAAGAGGGAGACCCTGAATGAGATCGATTGACAATGGTGACTGTATGTTGGAGATGGTAAGGTTGACAAAGGATACGGTAAGGTTCAGAGCATTGCTCTTAGGGTTGCTATGATTTATAATTGACTTGATGGCACATAACAACAATAACAACTACAATATGTTATTACTATCATTTTCCTGTGGGTTCTTTTTTTGTGCGTGTATATGTTGTTGATGCAGATGTCTTTTCTCTAATAAAAGCATTTAAAACCTGTACTTTTACGTATAACAATTAGGTTGCATCCCATAATTTTTCTGTATAAGTGAAACTGCCTTGTTTCAGAGATGCTTGGTTTTACCCCTAACTTTCAGTTGTGTCATTTTCAATATTAACTTGTCAACCAGATATTTTTAGCTGAAATTTCCACAAGTACTCAATGTAATCACTTTCTACCTTAAGAACATACTTCTATGATTTGCTTTATTTTGTTAAGTTTTTTAAAATTAATATTAGTAAAAGTTTACAGAGACTTAGGGTTTCCAGTCATTCATTTTTGCACTTTTGTCCTTGCCCACCTCCAACTCACTCTTCTCTTTGAAAAGAAAAAGAAAAACTCTTTCATTGTTATGCAATCTTTTCCCCCAAGTCCACTCCACCATGCAGCCTTCACTCTGGACTTCTGTAATGACAAGAATACCCATTCATATATCCCTTTTAAACAGGTCTCTTCCACCCTGTTTCAATGCAGTATACATCATTCCTCCCCTCCTTCTCTGCCTTCCCTGAACCCTGATGTCAGTCACATTTTACAACAGTGGCCCTATGCAATATTTGTTCTTTTGTGACAGATAGTTCCCTCAGCATAATGTCCTCCAGGGTCATCCATTTTGCATAATATTTCATGAGTTCCTTGTTTTTTCAATGCTGCGTAGTATTCCATTGTGTGGTTTACCACAGGTTCTATATCCATTTATTTTTCGATGGGCACTTCAGTTGTTTCCAGCTCTTTGCTATAGTGAACAAAGCTGCAATAAATATGGGTGTGCATTATTTTGTTGAGTTTTTTTTTAATTTTTGTATTTTGTTTTGTTTTATTTTGTTGAGTTTTATGTGACTTTTATTGCTTTAACATTTCGCAAAGGTACCAGGACAAATTTTATAATTTTGAGTTAAATGAAAAGAATTAGAGGTTACAAAGTATTGCAAATAATGAAATAAACTCAGTAAGTAATTTTGGTCTATTTATACCTCAGATTTTTCCTTTGTGAAATGAGTTGAGTTTTATAATAGATCATAATCAGTCTGGTTCTTGTATTCTGATACTAACCGATAGAGAAATAAAACGTTATTGCTTATTGTATTATGTCAAAAGTTCACTCTATACTTTAAATCAAACAAATGTGAACTTTAATTATAATTTCCTTTCATTAGAAGTACTGAATAAGATCTTGTTTAAAAATAGAAACTAAAATGAACTTTTAAAAACTGTATTATTTTTTCCTCAGCTTATTAGTTTACTTTAAAAATGCTGTTACTTATCTATTATTTACATGCAGAATAATTTTAAGATTGGTTATAGAGAAGCTTTGCACTTAGACTATGAAATCAGCAGCTCTATAAACACAGAACAGCACAAAAGAACAAAGATTTACTTTTAAACATCTTAAAAGAATTAAAAACAAAGGAATAAAAATAAAATAAAAGTGTTACAAAGTTTTCAGGGTAATATAAATGAAAATAAAACTATTCATCTTGATTTTCAATAATTCCTGGTTGAAACTTTTCAAAGGAAAATGAAAATAAACAACATACTGATACTTACCAACAGACTGTGACTATTAAAAGCCCCTTTTCCAGGACAGAAGCTTGACTAAGGAAAAATAGCTCTTTTTTTTTTAAAGTTTTTTCAATAAATTGCATGCAAGAATATAGAAAGGTATTATATTGGATAGAAATTCATAAAATGTTCATAGAATATATAAAGTACTAAGTTACTTTTTCGGCAATATAATTGATAGAATTAAAAAAGTGAAGACGTGATTATTATTATTATCCATCCTCTCTTTTTTTCAGTTATCATCATTGAATGACTTGTTTAAGTAGAATTTTACAAGCGCTCTTACTTGCTATCCATAAGAGATCTGGACAAAGCCTAAGGATGACAGAAGGAGAATTGATGCCCTTGAGCTGTGGTGCTAAAGAAGAGTATTGAATATACCGTGGACTGCTGGGAGAACAAACAGGATCGTCCTGAGGGTGAAACCAGACTGCTCCTTGAAGGCGAGTGTTCTGAAGCTTTGTCTGATACACATTGGGCATGTTCCAAGGAAGGACCAGACTTTACAACATACTTCAACATCCTTTGGGCATGTTGTAAGGAGGACCATCATGCTTGAGAGGTTGGAGGTACAGTGCAAGAAAGGAAGACACCTGCTGAAATACATTGACTCAGTGACTGGGGTGATGGGGGTAAGTGTGTCAGAAAAAATAAGATTGACTAAGGAAAGAGAGTTGAGAGCCGTTGCACATAGGGTCACTACGAATCTCAAGTGACTCAACGGCATATAACAACAACAATAACAACAACATGGAGAACAAAATGAAAGAAATTGTTTCAATTAATATTTTAGTAAAATGTTCTTGACATTTCATAAGATATTTAATGATAAAAAATAGGAAAAATCTCAACAATACTCTAACCGTTTATTTGTCATATATGGGCTTTCCTTACTATTTGTTCTGGATGAATACTGACCCACTTTTCAGTTTAAGCAGAGCTCTTTTCACTTCGTTGTTCCTCAAAGTATACACAATAGGATTCAGCAGGGGTGTCAGCACAGTATAGAATACTGCCACCACCCCATCCAGAGCTTCCTTGGAGCCTGGTCTCAAATAGATAAAAACACAAGGAACAAAGAAACAGAGGACCACGATACAGTGAGAGGCACAGGTCTGGAAGGCTTTGTGTCTCCCTTCTGAGGTCCTGATCTTCAGGATGGAGCAGACAATAGACACATAGGAAAGTACTATCAGGAAGAAGCAGCCTGAGGCCACTATCCCAATGTTGATGAATATCACCATCTCATTGGTAGAGGTGTCTGCACAGGCCAGCTTGAGGATGGGTGGTGCATCACAGAAATAGTGTTGGATCTGGTTGGGCCCACAGTAGGGCAAACGAAATGTCAATATTGTCTGGACAGCTGAATGCAGAGAACCACTTAGCCAAGTGCTGGTGACTAGAAGGGCACATATTCTCCCACTCATCATGCTGGAGTACCTGAGTGGGTAACTGATGGCCAGGTAGCGATCATAGGACATGACTGTGTAGAGGAAGCATTCTGTGCTGCCCAGGAAGTGGAAGGAATAGAGCTGAATCACACAACTGTAAAAAGAAATACCCTTGCCTCCTGGGGAGACTAAAGTGATCAGCATTTTGGGCACAGTGACAGTAGAGAACCACATGTCAATGAAGGACAGGTTAGCCAGGAAGTAATACATGGGAGTGTGGAGGTGGGAATCCCCCCTGATTACCAGCAGGATGAGGAGGTTCCCTATCACAGTGAGAATGTAGATCAGTAGGAAGATTCCAAAGAGGGTGGAGTCGAGGGTTGGTGCATGGGGAATGCCCATGAGGATGAATGTCGTCACAAGGCTTAAATTTGACATTTCTTCTCAGGTATGAAACACTGTGCTTGAGAAAAGAGTCTTGATGGGATAGAGGATATGCGATTACATGATAATATGAAGATCGCCTGTTAGAATTAATTTAAAAAAAAGTATCAGTTTCAATAAAAATTCATAGCTTTGGAAATGCAGTTGTTCTGCTTTGTCCTATAGGATTATAATGAGACAGAGTGGACTAGATGGCACTGAATGTGTTTGGTTTTAATTTTTTTTTAAATATTTATCCTTAATGAAATGGAGAAAATGGAAAATTTATATCTTATTAAATATGCCAAATAATGCATTTTAGACAAAATGATAGAATTTATCTTTTCAAAGCCCTCTGTAAGAAAGAGAGACTTTGAAAAATAATGTTGTTTCCTTATTTCAGTAACACACAGACCACACTCATTTGATCATCCAACCTCTGGTAATAATGATGATACTAGCAATCAATTTTCTCTCCTCTTTCTTATGTTTACTTCTACTCATAAATTTTCGTTATTTCTCTCTTCAAAATTTCAAAAAATCCAAGATATTTTTAAACATTGACCAAATTATCTCACATTATATTTGGAAAAACCCAGGGAGGATTAAAATTGTTTAAATATCAAAGAAGACAAGACTATCTTTTTAGTGTTTGAGTGCCAGAAGTATGTGTTTATATTTGTGTTAAAATAAACAAAATTATGATTCTAAAAGTAAACAAAAGTTTTTAGTAGGAAATAATTATTTAAAAATTGTTTTTAGGATATTTATTATCCCCAAATTTAAACTCCAAGTTCAGTTTCTAAAAAAAAATTGTAAAGTGCATTGAACGTCTTTGACTGTATATTCAAATAAGAAAAAATAAAATTATATAAAGAGATGAGAATAAATCTGGAGACCTTGAGGTCTCTGATAGAAAAAAGTCATTTTCTGGGTAATGATAAGATATTACTAGCAAACACATCCATATCAGCAACATATTTACTACTTCATGTCTCTAAGAGAAATGGAAATTTTCCCTTAACTCCATCTAAATTTATAATGCTAAAATTTACAAAGAAAATAATTGTGGTTATGTAACATTTTAAATAACCTTTAAAACAATGCAAGGTTGACTTTTTAAAACATGAGTTTTAAATCTAAATTGAACAATTGAAAGACGGCCTTAAACAATCTGTAATTATCTATATTTGCCCAACAGTGAAAATGTTGCTGTTTTCTTTTCTTTCTTTTTCCCCTTACTTACCAATTTCATAACTAGAGAAGTAAAATAAGTGTCAGACATTAAATAGGACTAAGCCTCCTTTTTGTCAAAGAGGAGACCACAAGAAGAACAAGATACAGAAACATATTCTTTTTAAATAGTAGAAGCTTAAAATTTATTTGATGTCACAAGAGATACTACCTTTTCCCTAGGCACCACATGGATAAATTGGGGAATTATGATAGATATTCAAATGTTTCCATTCTGTTTATGTTGATTTTGCATTTGGGGGATCATTTTCTCATAAGGCAAACATTTCCAAAAGTGAACCACACCACTTGAGTTTTAATATTCTGTGAATCTTTTCTATTTATGGTGATTGTATATGGCCAATAATCAAAAGGTCTGGATCATCTGTGCTCCAGGGGTAATCAATCTTACTACTTACAGGTAAACATCTATATAATTAAACATCCTCTGAGAATTAACAGAAGTATACTTCTTCACCTTCTCTGATTCAGAAATTTTCTTTCAGCCTTTCAATCTTCTATCCTACAGGCTTAGAACATTTTTAGAATTGCTGCAAAAGAAAAGTACATTTCCCCCTCTTTTTTGTTATTATACATTCTAATGAAAAGTTACAGAGATTTTGGATTTTCATTCCATTGTTGAACTTTTCTCCCTGCCCACCCTTCCCCTCCTAGTTCGCTCTTCTCTTTGAAAAGTAAAAGAAAAATTCTTTAATTGTTATACAATCCCTTCCCCCAAGTCCACTCCACTCTGCAGCCTTTTTTCAGGACTCCTGTCATGACAATAATACTAATCCTATATCCATTTTAAATACTTCTTTCCCTAATCTGTTTCAATGCAGTAAAAATAATTTATCCTCTCAGTCTCTCCTCACCCCCAATGTCAGTCCCATTTTACACAGTGGCACTATGCAATATTTGTCCTTCTGTGACTGAGATTTTCACTCAGCATAATGTCCTCCAGGGTCACTCATTTTGTATAATATTTCATGAGTTCTTTATTTTTAAAAGCAGCATAGTATCCCATTGTATTAATATACCACAGCTTCTCTATCCATTACTTTGTTGATGGGCACTTAAATTGTTTCCAACTCTTTGCCATTGTGAAGAAAGCTGCGATAAACATGGGTGTGCATATATCTGCTTGGGTGCTGGTTATGGTTTCTTTGTGGTATATTCCCAGAAGTGGAATTGGTGGGTAAAATGGTAATTCTATTTGCAACTTTTTGAGAAAGCGCCATGCCACCTTCTACAGTGGTTGTATCATTTTACACTCCCACCAACAGTGAACAAGGGTTCAAGTTTCTTCACAATCTCACCAGCATTTTTTTGTTTGCTGTTCTGTGATTTTGATTTGCATCTCTCTTAGTGCTAGGGAATTTGAGTATTTCTTCATGTGGTTGTTGGCCATCTGAATGCCTTCTTTGGTGAAGTGTCTGTTCATAACCTGTGCCTGTTTTTCAATTGGGTTGTTTACTGTTATATTGTTCTGGTGCTTGAATATTTTATAAATTCTAGATAGAAGTCCTTTATCTGACATGTCGTTACCAAATATTTTTTTCCTAGTCTGTGGCTTCCCTTTCTACCCTGTTGGAGAAGCTTTTAGATGTGCATAGGGATTTGATTCTTAGAAGGTACCATTTGACTATGCAAAGACATTTGACTGGTGGTTCACAACAAACTGTGATTAACATTGACAAGAATGGGAATCCCAGAACATATGATTGTGCTCATGGGAAAACTATACATAGTCCAGCAAACTGTCATATGAATAGAGAAAGAAAACACTGCAAAGTTCATAAGTAGGAAAAGTGTGCATTAGGGATGTATTCTATTTCCATACCTTTTCAATCTATATGCCAAACAGGTCAGGCTATACTTTATAAGGAAAAATGTGCCATCAGGATTGGAAGAAAAATGCAACAACCTGTGTTTTGCAGATGACACACAACCTTGCTTGCTGGAACTGAGGAGGATCTTAAGCATTTGGTGGACTGCAGTCTCCATATAGGAGTTTTTAGGTCATTCTGAAATATTTTCTTCCCTCCAAATGAGATTTTATTCTCTTTTTCTTTCTCTCTCACACATTACCTTCAAGTTGGAACTGACTCATAGATGACCCTCCAGAAGGTTCTTCAGGAGCTGGAAATTACACCAGAGGAAATTGCTCATCTTTTTCCCATGGTGCAGCTGGTCGATTTTAACTGCCCGACTTTGGGGTGGAAGTACAACTCTTTACCCACTAACTCACAAGAACTCCAAGAATTTAAAACATGTTTGCTTTACATTTAAAGGAGATTATTCTAGTGCCATGCTGGAAATATAGTTATGAAAATTAATAAGAAAAAGCAAGGAAGGATAAATGTCTTTAAACTTCAGCATTGGCAGAGTATTGAATATATCACAGATGGCCAAAAGAAAAAAAAAACAAGTCTGTTTGTGAGGAAAAGCAACCAGGATACTCCTTGGAGGAAAGGAAGGTGAAATTTTGACTCATATTTTGAATATGTCATCAAGAGGGGCCAGTTCCTGGGAAAAGATACCATGTTGAGAAAGATCAATGAAAGAGAGAGTGAGAGTGACTTTCAGTGAGATAAGATTGACACAGTGACTATAACAAAGCGCTTGAGCATGACTGAAATAATGAAAATGGTACGAGATATGGCAAGTTTCTGATCTGTTTATTATTCATAGGGTTGCTATAAATAAAAGTGGACTTGATGTCACCTAAATACATTTTAGAAATAGACTATTGGGACAATGAATAAAGGAGATAGCTGGTTAGGAAATATTTGTAGTAATTAAAAAAATATAACAGTCTCAAATAAGGACTAGCACTGAACATGATGATGCCTGGTAAGATTATAAACATAGATGTATGAGATTATATATCATTTGAAATCCTTCATTAAACATAAATTTATGAGACTATATATCATTTGAAATCCTTTGTTTGCTTTATACATATATCAATGGATTGG